CCCCCCCCCCAGGAAAGGTTCCCCCCAGAGTTCCTGTCTGAATTTGTGCAGCGTCCATTCCCAGCCATTCATGACCCAGCAGTCCTGGATTCCAGCCCCTCACTCTATCCCCTCCCCTCCCAGGGCTGAGGAGACAATCCAGGAGCCCTGGATCCCAACCCCCTACTCCAACCACCAGCCTCCACTCCCCTCCCAGCACCAGGGAGAGAACCCAGGAGTCCTGGCACCTAAACCTTCCTGCTCTAACCCACCAGCTGTCACTCCCTCCCAGAGCCATGGAGAGAACCCAGGACTCCTGTCCCCCTGCCATGAAAGTACCTCTGACGTTATCGGCCCTCTGCACCTGTCGCAGGACATTGCGAGCCCCGTCGTCACCAGCCTCCATGGTGGTCACCACACTGACGGGCAAGCCAAAGTCACGCAGCGAGTGGGCCAGGCCTTCCCCTGCCTCCACCCACAGGTCCTGCTGGGAGGTGACCACGGCCACGTGGGCCCAGCGGAAAAATTTGAGGACAGCGTAGAGCACGGCTGAGGCCTGCGGGAGAGGCCGGGCGAAGGTGTTCCACCGCTCCACCTCAGCATCCCTATTCAGGCACGCCCAGGAGAAGACCGGCTTGTTCCAGGCCTGGCCCAATGGCCCAGCCATCCCACATGCGACCGGGTTGAGTGGCCCCACGAAGCCGGAGGCATAGCGTTCGGCGTTGACCAGAGCCACCAGCGCCTGGCTGGTCTGGCACTCCTCGTTCAGCAGCACATAGTCAAACCAGTAGCCCTGGTTCACCTCCGGGTCCTTGTTGATCCGCCCCACAGCCAACTGGGCAGCTGCTTCGGGCAACGCCCGGGCAAAGATGGGGTCACAGCTCCAGGGGCCCATGACCCCCACTTTGAAAGTGGCTGGGTGGACCCAAGCAGGCCAGCATAACAGCAGGAGCCAGAGTAGGAGAGTCTGGCGCCGCCGCCGCCCCCACCTGGGGTGGTTGGAGAGGCGTAGAAGGAACCTGTGGAAGCCAAACCAAGCAGGAGACATAGTGCAAGGGTGCTGGGCACAATGGGGCAGGAGGGGGGGGGGCAGCACCAGGCTATTTAGTCCCTTGGGGCCCAGAGCCCAAAGCCTTTGGCAGAAAGGGGTCTGTTCATCACAGCCAACATCATGGAGGGGAGGTTGCTGCTACCACAGCTGCAGGGAAACGGTGCGTCTGGAAGAGAGAGGAGACGTGTCAGAAAGGGATGTGGAGAGAGAAGGGCTTAGAGCCAGGACTCCTGGGTTCTCTTTCTGGCTCTGGGAGGGAAATGGGGGCTGGTGGGTTAAAGCTGGGGGTGCTGGGAGCCAGGACTCCTGGATTCTAACCCCAGAGCTGGGAGGGGACTGAGGTGTATTGTACTGTCTGGTTACTAGACAGCAGCCATCTTACATCCAAGGGCTCCCCTACTCTTGCCAGTAGCAACCAGCCTATTGCCAGTTCTGGTCATTTTGTGGCTTGTAATGAGCATGCCAACCAAAGCTGCCTTGGTTGGCTTGCTGCCATGCCATCTTGGGCCTGCCATGCCAACCAAAGCTGCTGCATTGCTAACCCCGGTGGTCATATTGTTCTCAATGGTGGCCATATTTGCTGACATGCCAGCTGAATTATCACTAAGGTCAGCCATATTGCCAACCATGGTAGCCATATTGTTAACCATGGTGGCCATATTGCAAACACACCAATCATATTTTCACTAGCAGCAGCCCTAGCCTTAACTTTGGCAGACATATTACCAAGGTACTGTGCTTAAATTACACAATTTAGTGCTTTAATGAGTGGGTCCTTACTTCTGCAGGTTTGTTTCAGCATCAAAAAGCATTATAAGAGGCAGATGGCTGTTGACAATCACCAGGAAATCATGTTACATCATTTGTAGCCATCACCACCCCCAAGCATGATGACCATACTGTCACTGTGTCAGCAATATGGTCGTTAATAGTAGCCATATTGCGAATCATGGCAGCCATATTGCAAGCAACAGCAGCCATCTTGTGCACAGTGGCCACATTATTAACAAGAGCAGGCATATTGCGAACAGCACCCTTATTGTTAACAACAGTGGCAATATTGTCAACAGCTATATTGTGAACAGTAGACATATTGTGAATAATGGCAGCCTTATTGGGAACAGCAGCCATATTGTTAACAACGGCAGCCATGTTACCAAGTGCAGCAACCATATGTGTGAACAACACCGGCTCTGTCACCAAGATGCTAGCAATATGGCTATGATGTTAACAATGCAACCATCTTTTCCAGTGCATGGGTCCGACAGTCCAGACCTGCCCACCAGGGCCTTCAAAGAGGTGTCCTTTGTCTTGATAGCAAATCGACCCCTCCATGCAGGAACAGTTGTCCTCCCACTCCACACACGGGGCCTTGCATGGCTCGTTTCCATGGCAGGACGAGGTGGAGGGTCATGGTGGGTGAAGACAGCTGTCCTGGCCTAAATCCACCCAATCTCATCAGCCTCGCTGGAATTAGCCAAATCACAACTCCACGTGCCGCCCGGCGCCTCCATAAACCTGCTCCCTCCCCTCCCCCTTCAATCCTAATCTCATAGATGAACTAAACTGGGATTAACTCTTTGGCCCCAAATGCCTGGTTGCATTAGGTGTGAAGCAGCCCAGTGGTCCTGGCAGCCACGTGTTGGCTCATCTCCAGCGGCCCAAGCCTGCATGTCGCCTGTCCCACGTGGATGGGCCTGGAAGTGAAGGAGGCGACCATGGGGAGGGCAGGGTAGAACGGAGGGATTGATGGGTAGTTGGGAAGGTCAGTGCAGACTTTGGTCCTTGGTCAGGTAAGGGGTTCTGTGGGGGCAGGGAATGGGGTAGGGACTAAACAGGGGTGTTCTCTTCAAGTCCAAATCTGAGCTTAAAAGAGACCACCTTGTTATCTAGACTGACTTCCTGCATTGCACTAACTACTGCACCCAACCACCAACATTTGACTGTGGTACCACTGACATAAGGGACTCAACTGGCTGAGAACAGGCGGAACCAAGGTGCCCCCCGTGCCTGAGGCCTTGCCATGGAAGGAAACCAACTACATGAGACATGCCCAGATGAGCTGCACAGTCAAGCTGCACCTATGGCACAGAGGAAGGCATAACCCGATACCTCCAATGTTCCCACCCCACTGACCTGGGGGGAGGGAGGGATTATTTCCTGGCCCAAATCCGAGGCAAGTCCAAGGCAAGCTTCCCTAATGTAGATGTGCTATCTTGATTTAGAGCCCCAGGAGGAATTTGTTTAGGCAAACAGTTGGGGACAGGATTCTTCAAACCTGCTCAACACATCAGCCACCCTGCCCTATGTCCCATCTCAGCTGTGTCCAAGCTCTTCCCTCAGAAGAGGGAAACACATTTATACACACACAGACAATGCCAGGAGACACCAGAGTGACAACCCTTCCTGACCCTTGCAGATGATAGGCTAAAGCCCTGAAGCATGAACACTACAAACATGAAACCTAATCCAGGGGAGGAAAAAAAACCCAAGACTGGTGAGCCCTGCCCCTAATCATCGTGAGCAGCCCCACTCAGATATTTCTCCAGCTCTTTTACAACACAAAGTATGCGTTCAGGCCCCATGACAATTTGTGGGTGGGTGTGGCTACGTCTAGACTGCAGGCTCCTTTCAGAATAAGCTTTTCTGGAAGAGATCTTCCGAAAAAACTTCTTCCAAAAGAGAGCATCCACACTGCCAAAGCGCATCGAAAAAGCGATCTGCTTTTTCAAAAGATAGTGTCCACACTGAATGGATGCTATCTCACATTTAAGCACCAGGGCACCTGTGCTTTTTCCTCTTTCCTTTTCTTTCAAAAGAACTCATTCTTCCCTGTCCACAAACAAAAGAGCCAAAAGAGCTCTTTTGGAAAAAGGCTTTTTCCTCATAGAAAGAGGTTTTCCAATTTTGGAAAAACTCCTCTGTTCTTTCAATTTTCTTTCGAAAGACCGCGATTGCAGTGTGGACATAAGTGAAGTTTTTTCCGAAAAATGGCCATTTTTCCAAAAAAACCTCTGTAGTGTTGACATAGCTTGTACCAGGCCCTCCTGTCTCCAGTGGGTAGGAACCTTCTGCTCTCCAGCCTCCATCGATTCTTGTCCTGTTTATCTCTGTTCAGCTTGGTACCAACACTGCCAACTCCCCTAGCCAATGGATTTAGGAACAGCTATGACACTTATCCCTTGCTGGCTGCGTCTCAGACCAAAAAGGCAAGCTCTAGTAGTCTCCTCTGGTGGGACTGGCTCTCTAGTCTCCTGGGCTTCCTCACAGCCCATCTTTCTGCACCTGGGCCAGTTTGGAGGCAGCTTTCTTCACTACAGAGGACCAGAGCCAAACTCAAGTTTCCAGCAGTGCCTGGTCTGACTGAAAACACCACATCTGGGGGATTCCTGGAGAGCATCTGCTTTTCCCATTGGCAGCTCATAGACACCCAGCAATTGGCAATATCTTCAGGTCTTTCACCCCCATCACCTGGTCGTTCGTTTCCTGCTGGCAAGCCCTTAGCACCACAGCCACACAACTGGTCCTCACCAGCCTCACCGCAACTCTTGGTTCTCTGTGCATCCCCCATGGCATTGCTCTGGCTTCATGCCTGCTGACGCATTCTGGGAGAATTGCTTGAATTTTCCCAGCATGTGTTGCTCACTGTGGGCTGCCTGCTAGCGGATGCATTCTGGGAGAATTAATTGCCTGGCTTTCCCACTTGTTGGAGAATTTTAACACAGGGCTTCACACCAGCTGAAGTATTCTGGGGTTATGTCTACACTGCACAGTTATTTCAGAATAAGCTATTCCGGAATAGTTATTCCGAAGTAGCTTACAGATAGCCCCCGACTTACAAATGAGTTACATACCAAACACTTGGTCGTAACTCGATTTGTTCGTAAGTCAGACTCCATTCATTTAAATGTGACTGCGCTGTTCGTAAGTGCAGATCGCGCATTCGTAACTCGGGGACCACCTGTATTTCAAAATAGCAAGTCTACACAGCAGGGAAGCCTCAAAATGAGTCCTAGGAAAGCTTCCCTAATGTAGATGTGTTATCTTGATTTAGAGCCCCAGGAGTAATAACTTAGAATGGTTCTCGTATTTCAAAATAGCAGAAGTGGCACATCTACACACGCCTTATTTCGAAATAGCTATTTTGGAACAGGCGTTATTCCTCATAGAATGAGGTTTGCAGAAGTCAGAATAAGCCATCCATTATTTCAAAATTATTTCAAAATAACAGAATTGCTGTGTAGGCACTCGCATAGTTATTTCGGAATAATGACCATTATTCTGAAATAACTTTTCTGTGTAGACACACCTGGGAGAACAGCTTGAATGTCCCCATCATGTCTTGCTCAATATAGGCTTCATGCTGACTGATGCATTCTGGGAGAACTGCCTGGATTTCCCAGCATAGCAGGGCTGGAGGCAGAAGACCCTTGCTCAGGTGAGGATAGAACAAGTCAGACACACACAGCTGTGTTTGTCATAACCAGGCATGACTGAGAGGGTGTCTTCACTGGACCTTGTGAATGGGAGGGGTAAAACCCTTTTCTGAGCGTTCTAGCCATTCAGATAACTAAAGTCTTTTCACGGTGGTTAACTCTTGAGACCTAACCCTAACTGTCTTGCCTGTACAGGTTAAAGCCATTGACAGAGAGTGCTAGGGAATCCCAGGAATGCTAGGGAAGTGAGTTGGCAGGAGACCAGGAAAGCCAATGGAAACAGAGCATGGGGTTTTTGAATTAGAAGCAGTGACCTTCCTGTTCTTGTGTGACCAGAAGAGAACTAGGAGACTAAGCCAGAGAGCAAGGCAGGGAGTATGCAGTGAAATCCATGCCTAGGGAAGGACTAAATCTTGAAACCATAGCTATGTGAGTAGAACAGTGAGACTATGTCTACACTAGCGGCTTCTTGCACCAGAAATATGCAAATGAGGCTAAATGTGGAATATTGCCGAGCCTCATTTGCATACCTAATGAGCCGTCATTTTTTTTCAGAAGAGGCTCTTGCGCCAGAAGGAGCTATCTACACTGCCCCTTCTTGCACAAGAAAAACCCTCTTGTGCAATGCCGTTATTCCTGAAAATAATCAGCATAGTGGCATTGCGCAAGAGGGTTTTTCTTGTGCAAGAAGGGGCAGTGTAGATAGCTCCTTCTGGCGCAAGAGCCTCTT